GCGGGGATGCAGCTCCTACCGAGCACTGCTTGACACATTGTCGGAGTGTGGCTTGGAGCAAGCACTAGGAGAGTGGTAGATGAAGGCTGCTGCAAAGCTGTCCACCCTTGCTGGCAGAGGAAGGGCCATCGCTGCGAGCTGTGTCCTCCCCTCCTGAGCCTCCCAGTCTCGCACTTGTGTCTGTTTGGGGAAAGCCCTGGTGGTGGGGAAGGGTCCTGGCCCCCATCTCTCCTTGCTGTCAGGGTGCAGAAGCACCAGTTGGGGGCTGGGGGCTTCCTCTGCCTCATGGTGCCCTCTGCGGTGTGCGGGCACTAGGTCCCACCTTGCCCTGGCAGGAGGGAGGTGCTGAAACAATGAGGAAGAGCTTTGGAATTAGCTACTGAAACTTCGCAGGCTCCTAACATGTAATAATTAATGGTAGGAGGAAATGGGCTGGTCCCAGGTGAGCTGCTGGGTGTGCTGGAAGGGGAGCTGCTCTCCTTGCTGGTGTTTGCCTGTGTGATCGGTGCTGAAAGGCAGTGCCAGCCTTAGCTGTTGCTGCTCTGGGTGGTGGCTTCAGTGTGAAACCTGGAATCTTTTGCCAAAAACCGTGACGGAGGTTCACCTCTTGGCGCTGGCTGGCCACAGTGCCGCGGGACGGCAGCACTGCTCCCACCATTTAATGCTGCCTCCTTGTCGGGTGTGATGCTGCTGCATGTTCCTGGTTGTTCCTTCTTCCCGCGGAGCGCTGGCTGTCCGGGGAAAGAGATGAAGACCATTGTGTGTTGCAGGACACGGCCGCAGAGAAAAAGGCAGCTGATTGATTTAGCCGGCCTTGGATGGGTGGGTTGGCTGGGCTTTCCAGCCAAGCAGTGCGGGGTACCTTGAGCCATGTTGTTTGTCCCAGTTCTCCCTCCACTGAACTTGGTAACTGAGTTTGATGAAGGAGGTGGCCCGTTGACAAGGGATGAAGGTCTTGATACAAGGACGTAGTGAAGACTACCCAGCTCCTCAGTTCTCAGCGTTTCCTCCTGGTAAGGTGACCGCCGTTTGAAATGAAGACAGCCTTCTCTGGGCCTCTGGAACCTCTTTCTGTAAGGCATTTTCTCCCATTCTTGAATAATTTCTACTGTAAATGCCACCTCCTTGCTCTGTTGGGTCTCCTCCCATCTGCTTCAGCTAGTCTCCAGATGAGGATGTTCCCCTTGCGTGGGTCCTGCAAGGTGCTGTCCCCCTTCCCCCCCGTCTCAGCCCAGGGTCCAGCATTAGTGGTGCTGTGCGGGGGCAGGTGATACTCTGCAGCCATGAAACCCCCAGTGACATGGCTGCTTTTCACGTATTTCATGAACACATGGCACAACAGCTTCTCTTGTCTGGTCTGATACATCACAGGGCACTGCAGCTCCTTTTTTTCACAGAATCGCAGATGGGTTCAGGTGGGAAGGGCACACTGGCTCAACACGCTGAAGCTGGGTCACCCAGAGCAGGTTGCCCAGGACCATGTGCAGATGGTATTTGAGTACCTCCAAGGATGCAGACTCCACAGTGTCTCTTGGGTGACCTGTGATCAGTCACCATCACAGTAAAAACCCCTTTCCTTACAGAAGCACAGGCTGTTTGAGGTTGGCGTGGATTTCTGCTCCACCTCTGGAGACTGGTAGGTCAAAAGCAGGAAGGACTGAAATCCTCCCATGCCAGAGGAGTTGGTCTGGTGATTTGTCCTCCATGGAGGAGATGGGGCTCTGGTCAGTGGAGGTTCCTGACAGCCCAAGTGCAGATTTGGTGCTTAGTTCGGTCTTGAGCATGTGAACTTTGGATCAGAGAACACTTCTTGAGGAGACAGATCTTTATTACCAAGTGGACCAAGTCCAGTGATGGCTAGTGTCTGAGCTTCGGAAGCAGTTTGGACCCATTATTAATTGCTGAGATGGAAACAAGAGCACACCCCTCCCTGACCACAAACGCCGGTGTCCTGTCTTCTGTGGCACAGCATTTGGGCACAGTCCCCGCCTCAGCAGCACGTGGCCCAGCTGAGGCTGCTGTGGGAAATCCTGGCCATCCCTTGGCCCCAGAAGGAGGGGACTGAACAGGGCATTAACTATCCACAGGCTGCAAGGGGCCGGCAAGCCAGGCAATAGTGGAGATCCAGAAAATTGGGTTAACTAGATCTTTTGCTGAGATTAGGTCACGTTCAGACTGCTGGGGGGGGGGGCGGGGGCAGCTTCTCCATGGGCCAGCACCCGCGTGCAGCAATCACGCGGCATCTCCAGACCTGCCCTCAGTGGAATCCTGCTGTCTGGCCTCTGTGGCACTTGATTTTCTCCTGATGCATCCTCGTCTGGGAAATGCGGGAGCCCTGCTGGGCCACAGGGGCGACGCTGTGTTCAGAGGTGGGCTTGCCGTCTGCACTGCCCATCCTCCACACAGAGCTACGTTGAGCTCGGAGAGGCCGTTGTCTGCCCGAGCCCTGCTCAGATTTGCTGTTTACCGAGAAAAAAAACGCATTTGATCCCCGTGCGTATTGGCCTGCCGTCAGCCACTGCCTTCCTCATGTAACCTCATCCCAGTGTATGAGCGGATGCAAGGTCCTGGGGTTGTATTTTGCCATTAGATTATTGCTCTCCATGGGAACCAGCTGAGATTTGTCCTTTTTCAGTATCTCTGTAATTGATTTTTAGCCTGGTTTTGTCATTAATCAAGTGTGTCTCTAAATCAGGTGGGTGAAGCGAGTGCAGCTCCTGTGCAGCCTCTGCAAGCTGGTGAGTGGATTTTCCTCCAGCCTGCAGGCTCTTAATGCAAATGCTGAATTGAACTCGGCCCAGGAATGATGCCCGCCTGGGACTCATTCATCATTTTTCCCCAGTCTGACTCCGAATCTTTAATCATCTGGTCCCTGAGTCCAGCCTGGCAGCACGGGTGTGATCCAGCTGCATGTGGCTGCCTCGCCCCTGGCTGCTCCGTGTTGCAGGAAAACCAAAGATCCGCCTCGCTGCTCTTCCTTCCTTGCCCATTTTGCTTTGATATAAACCTTCGCCTATCCTGAACCTAATTTTGCTTCTGATATGTGCTGGATCCACCCCACCGAAGCGTGCCCAGCAGCAGTGCCCTTTGCACATCTGCAGCAGATGGAGCTTTCTGCTGTCTTTGCCGTTCCCTGAGAGTTAGAGTTGGGCTTTGCAGCCCTGGAGGAAAATGTCACGGTCCCTGTGAGAGCTGCCTGCAAGTCCTGATGAGACGCGCAGGCCATGGCCGTGTGTTCCTGTGTGTGGAGCAGCCCCGTGCCCACAGTGTCAGTGCTTTGGATTTGGATTGAGAGGCTGGAACAGTGGGACGGGATAACTTGGAAAAAGGCGGCAGATAGGGAAAATCCTCCGTCTGTCAGGGTTTGATGAGGAGGCCCAGGATGCACCATGACCGTAGTGCACAGGGCAGGGGACACAGCCATGTCGTGTGACCCAGGGTGCCCACAGACGTTTAGAAGAAGCCCCCATATGAGATTCCCCTGAGGATTTCCCCTGGGGAAGGGTGGGTGTCACAAGGACAGAGCCAGACTCTCCTCAGTGGTGCCCAGCGCCGGGACAAGGGGCAATGGGCACAAACTGAAGCAGAAGAGGTTCCAGTTGAACGTGAGAAAGACCTTCCTGACTTTGAGGGTGACCGAGCCCTTGCACAGGCTGCCTAGGGGGGCTGTGGAGTCTCCTTCTCTGGAGATATTCAACCCCCGCCTGGACGATGTCCTGTGCACCCTGCTCTGGGTGACCCTGCTTGAGCAGGGAGGTTGGGCTGGGTGATGTTCCAAGGTCCCTTCCAGCCCCTGCCAGTCTAGGATTCTGGGATTCTGTGAATACAAAACCTGCTGTCTAAAAGGCAGAAATACCACCCTGCAGGGAGAGGGCCATCCCTTCCTGGGCAAGCTGGGCAAGCTCCCATGGCTGTGCCAGGGTCGCTGAGGTCCTGGGGAGGGTGAGCCTTGGGCAGTGCCCCTGCATGAGGACCTTCTGTCAGCAGCGGGGTGGTGCGGGAGGGGCTGTGGCGCCTGCAGATGGCCTCCCTTGAGGAGTAGTTAAATTTTAAAGAGATTTTTTGAGTATGCCAACAACAAGAGAGGTAGCGGTGATGGGGCAGGCAGCTGCCAAGAGCGGATGCCCGGGGCAAGGCATGAGGGCTGGTAGGGCAGAGCCCGCTGTCCTGGGGGTAATTAACCTGGAGCGAGCAGAGCTGCGGATGGGGGAGGCAAATCCTGGCATGACAGATGCAAAGCGGCAGGGGAGGGTGAATTCCAGCAGGGAGGGAAGGGGCTGGGGAAGCTGTAATTATGGGATGGTGGGAGCAGGACGAGTCCAATGTAGCGGGGAGGGTGGAGGGCTTTGGGGGAGGCTGGGGAGATGTGGGGCCAAGAGGGAATGGGTGAGTCCCTGCCGAGGAGGAGGTGCGGGGGCCACCATGAGACTGTACACAAAAATATCTCCTGTGCGAGAGCTGAGGAGGGTGAACGAGCACTTGGCACTTGATCTGTGCAGTCCCAGACCTGCGTTCATCCCATTTTCCCCTTCCTTTCTTACAGTCCCAACGTGCCCTCGAATTGTTTTGCAGTAATTCCGTAAGGCACCCGTTATTTTCTCTTCCTTCAACCCATGGTGTTTCATCCTTTTTGTTAAAGCCAAGTTTGTTTTCCTCCCTTCCTACCACCATTCCTAGTTTCTCCGATTTTATCTGAAGCAGTCAGAGGGAACCTGCCCTTCACTGAGGGGTGGCTGAGCAAAGACAGAGCTGGAAGTTCAGGGCAGTGAAGCAGGGAGCGAGCAAGGTTTGCTGGTCACGGCAGCCCCCTCGCTTTTGGGATTCCCTGTTCCCTCCTCCATCTGGGGGGGAGATTTCCCCCTGCTGAATTAACGAGCGCTGTGGAAAAGGCGGCTGGTGATGTGCCGGTGACGCCGGCGGCTGACGCTGTGCTGGGGAGGAGTGGGAGGCTGGAATGAGCGTGTCGGGGAGCACGTCAGCGCTGCTGCCATGTCACACGGCTACTGGCGCTGCTCGTGGCTGCTGTTGCCGGGTCCCCGCCGGCTCGGACAGTGAGGCCGGGGGAGGCTGGTGAGCGGCAGCGCCTCGAGAGCGCCAGGGCCGGCGGATGGGGAGAAGCTGGGGACAGCTGGGAGAGGGCAGCAGAGAGGACGGGTCAGAGGCTGCCAACGTGCTGGCCATGCGTGGGGCGAGAGCTCTCCGGCCAGAGATGGGTGCATTCCCACGCTCCTGAGCCGGATCAGGGCAGGGGAAGGGCCTGATCGGGAATGATTTGTTTATGATTTCTGTAAATTAACAAAGAAATAAAATTGCTCAGCAGTGAGGGAGCCTTGTGATGGGGATCATGGAAAAGGGCTCAGCCCCAGCACGTGAGGCACGGAGCTGTCTTGCTTTTGTGTTTAGAGACACAGGTGCAGGAGAGAGTGGATGGACCAAAACTTCCCTCGCTGCTGCGGTCACCCGTTTGCCCTGGCTGTAGCCCGGGGGGCTTGGGCGATGCCAGCCGCAGTGAAAGAAGCTGGTTCCTGAAGTTGGGGAGAGCTGGCTTTGCCCTGGAGGATCTGCAGCAGGGGCTTGGCAGAGGAGGCGCTTGCGGGGGCGCTGCAGCCTGTGCTAGCACTGTCCCGGCTGGTGGGCTAGCAGGAAGGTTTAAGCTGGACACCAGGAAGAAATGTTGTACCTTGAGGGTGCTGAGGCACTGGCACAGGCCACCCCCAGCAGCTGGGGATGCCCCCAGCCCCACGAGGTTTCAAGGCCAGCTTGGACGGGGCTTTGAGCAACCAGATCCCAGGGGAGATGTCCCTGCCCTTGGCAGGGGGGTTGGACTAGATCAGCTTTGAAGGCCCCTTCCAACCCAGACTGCTCTGTGGGTCCATGACTTTATGAAGAATACACTTGAGGAAGTGCCCGGCCCTGCCAGGTGGATTTTTTTCCTTTTTGATATTTACCATATGTTTCCTGCTGCCTCTTCAGCAATGCTCTGTTCCCTGGGCTGCGGCTAAAGACTCCTGGTGACCAGAGCACGTTTCCCTTGGTGGATGAAATGCGTTACGATTCATGCTCGTGGGTTGCTGTGTACGGGGCTGCAGCAGGCTGCTCATAGCTGGTGGCTCTTAGGGACCTTTCTGGCCTCCCTGTGCGCAAGGCCACCTGCTCAGACGCCAACAGAGCTGCAGGCTGCAATGGTGGGCTGACCCGGACAGGGTGTTGCCCCAGTAAACCTTGTGGAAGCCTTGCTGAGGTTGGGAGCTCTCAGATGGCCGCTGCCCTGTGCAGGGCCCGGGGTGGGGAGAATGGGGAGAGGCAGGAGTGAGGGGGACTGGGATCCACAACAGCAGAAGCAGCAGCCAGCCTGCCTGGGAATGGGCCACGAGCAGTGCGGTTTGTTGTGGTCCATTTGGATATCTCAGATTTACAGGACAACGTACTCTGTAAATTAAACTTTATTTTATGAGCTCATTAGGAAAGAAGGCAAACGACAAAGAAGGGCTCAATACCCTTGGCACAGACCAATCTAACATGAATCCACTCATCGGTTGCTTACTTCATCAGGTTTCTAACTCAGAAGTTCTCAAGTTCATAACTTGCAGCTCAGAGCTTGCAGCTTGTACCGCGTGCATCTATGAGCAAAGCAGCAACCTAGCAGAGGGTGTGTGCGCTCCGTCCTCCCCTGTCACAGTGTGGGCGTCCCCTGTGTCACACCAGGAATCACAAAAGCCTCAGCAGTCCAGGTGCTCTTGGAGCCACTTAAAAACTTTTCTGGGTGAGCTGATGCGGTTATACCTTCCCGCTCAGCAGGTCAGGCTCTGCCGTTTGCGTGAGTCAGTCAATTCTGGAAAAACCACCAGCCAGCCACGATGCAAGGACGACGGCCGCAGGGGACAGCGGCTGCAGGGACAGTGGCTGCAGAGTGACCTTCGAGCCTTTCTGGCCACTGTGACCTGCCTATGTGTGGTCTGTGCTTGGACCTGGCGGTACTGCTCCCAGCGTGTTTGCCAACGTCCCAGCAGGAGCTGAGGGAATGGTCGCACCGTTCCCTGCACTTCAGTCTGTGTTTAAAAATATAAATCAGGCCATTCTATTTTTAAGAAAAAAATGCTGACCTGGGCAGCAGAGGTGGCTGAACAGTTCACTGGGCACTTTCCGGGGCTTTATTTTGGACATGCTGCTTTGGATACCGAATAACAGTGTCTTGAAGAGCACTCTTGCAGCTGACGCTCCGGCTGGTAGGACTTCTTCAGGTCACTTTTTTTCCACCAGTGCTAGAAAAAGTTTTCTTTCTGGCTAGAGGTAATTCTTGCCCTTTATCATGGAAATGTGCAAGTCCAAAAAAAACCTTTCCACAGTTGATTGGCTGGCAGCCTTTCTGCACAAAGCCCTGTTTCTCTTTGTCCTAATGGGGTCACCGCCTGTGATCTGCATCACCTTGTGTGTGGGGTGACCACTTCCCTCCTCCTGAGGACCAGTCCCTCCATCAGGCCCTGCTTCTCCACCGCCTGTCGGTCTGCTCGCTGGCAGGGCCCCTCATTGGCCCAGACTCTCTGGCTCGGACTCGCCCACTCATCCTGAACAATTTAAATAAGGCATTCGGGGTGCGTCTACTTTTGGGAAGAGCTGTGGCATGTCCTGGGTCATGCTGGGTCACGTAGAAGCAGGCTGCATTAGTGAGCCTGCAGGACCTTCCCTGTGGTGGTCCTCTGCTCCCAGCAGAGCTGCTCCTGCCCCTGCCCAAGGGGCCTGGCCCACCAGACAGCCCAGAGGAGGGGTTCTGATGTAGGCTTGGGGCACGTATGGCCATGCTGCCCTGTGGAGTGGCATCTGACGTGGCCTGGGATGGCCAGTGGCCTTCCAGAGCTCTGCCGCCTCCTCTAGGCTCTGGGATGTGGATAGGTCCAAACCTACTTTTTTTGGTTTAATTTTTTGGTTTTAACTCAATCTGATTCAGCTGGCATTGCATTCAGCCTTCCAGAAAGGGCTAAGATGAACGAGCACTATTGCTGGCTCAAAGAGGAAGCAGCCTGGGCTGGGGGAGCTGGGGTGGTGGAGAGCATGGCTGGGTCACTGCTTGTTGCAGAAGGCAACTTGGTTCAGGGGTGACCTCCTGAAGGAGGCGGGGATAAAAAGGGAAGGGTGGGTGAAAGTGCTTGAGTGTACAGCCAGAGTGCTAGGAATACAGATAGCAAGGCATGAGAGCCTCGTGATGTTCAGCCAGGCCAAGTGCAAGGTCCCACACCTGGTCAGAGCAACTCCCAGTACCAGCACGGATTGGGGGATGGATGGGGCTCCCCAGCAACCGGACGACCATTTTAAACTGGGCGAGGGGTGGGCTTGGGCTGGACACCAGGAGGAAATGTTGTACCCTGGGGGTGCTGAAGCACTGGCACAGGCTGTCTCAGCAGCTGGGGATGCCCCAGCCCGGGGAGGGTTCAAGGCCAGCTTGGACGGTGCTTTGAGCAACCAGATCCCAGGGGAGATGTCCCTGCCCCTGGCGGCGGGGCTGGACTGGAGCAGCTTTGAAGGCCCCTTCCAACCCAAACCATGCTTTGAGGTCCTGTGATTAAAGCATGGGACAAAAAGGAATTATTTAATTGCCCCAGTGTGGTGGTTTGACCCTGGCTGGATGCCAGGGGCCCACCAAAGCTGCTCTATCATTCCCCTCTAACCGGACAGAGGAGAGAAAAGTAAATCAAAGGACTCGTGGGTTGAGATAAAGGCAGCTTAATAAAGGAAAAAAAAAAAGCAAAAGCAAAGGCCGCACACGGTAGCAAAAGGAAAGAAAACAAGATTTTATTCTCTACTTCACATTAGCAGGCGATGTCCAGCCACTTCCCGGGAAGTAGGGCTTCAGTATACATAGTTGTTCCTTCCCAAAGACAAAACGTTGCAAAAGACAAATATGTCCCCCTCCTCTTCCTTTTCCCTTAGTTTTATATCTAAGCTGACATCACATGGTATGGAATATCCCTTTGGTTGGTTTGGGTCAGGTGCCTTGGCTACGCCCCCTCCCAAGATCTTGCCCCCTCCCAGCCCACTGGTGGTGGTGAGAGGTTATGTTGGAGACAGCCTTGATGCTGTGCGAGCACTGCTCAGCAGTAGCCAAAACTCTGGTGTGTGATCAACACCTTTCTGCATACCAACAGAAAGCACAGCGCTGTGCAGCTCGACCCAATACAGGGTGGTACAGGGTCTCTTTAGGGCAGGACAAACCTCCACCTTGCAACAGTCAATGAGCATCCTCGCTCAGCCATACTCCGGGCAACGCAAACGCAGATCTCATTTAATGCCCACCCCATGCACTGTGGCTAAAGGTACCTTTTAAACTATTTGGCAGCAGAGCAAATGGAGTCGCTGTATCACTTCCTACAACATACAACTCACATCACAAATTATTTTTCCTCCAAGGTTAAATCTCTTCGAGGCACACACCGGGTCTCCCCATCCTTCCACGTTACCCACCAAGTACACCCAGGTCCTTGAGCAAAAACAATCCCACAAATGGGTTTGCCTTTTCCCATAGGAGGAGCAATCCACAGTGCCTCCCCCAGCCACTTCCCCATGTTCACTACAGGGGCCTTCTCTCCTCCCACAGCCCTACACAAGGTTTTGTTTGGGCAGGACCAGGACAGTTAGCAGATCCTCTGGTATTAACTAGCCAAGTGGCTTCTGCTAAATTTGTATCCCAGTGTTTCCATGCCCCATTGCCCAAGGCTCTTAACATAGTCTTTAACAGTCCATTATATCTCTCAATCTTTCCAGAGGCCTGTGGGTAATAGGGGATGTGACACACCCACTCAACGCCATGTTTATTTGCCCAGGAGTTTATGAGGTTATTTTGGAAATGAGTCCCATTGTCTGATTCCATTCTTTCTGGAGTACCATGTCGCCACAGAATTTTTCTTTCAAGGCCTCAGATGGTGTTTTGGGCAGTGGCATGGTTTACAGGGTATGTTTCCAGCCAGCCAGTAGTTGCTTCTACCATGGTGAGTATGTAGTGCTTGCATTGGTGTGTTCATGCCAGTGGTCCAATATAGTCTATCTGCCAGGCCTCACCATATAGAAAACCCAGCTACCGCCCTCTGTTCCAGGGAGATTTTACTTGTGTGGCTTTCTTAATTGCAGCACATGTTTCACATTCATGAGTGACCTGTGTGATGGCCTCCATGGTCAGGTCCACCCCTCAGTCACGAGCCCATCTGTATGATGCATCTCTCCCTAGATGTCCCGATGTTTCATGGGCCCATAGAGCTACAAATAACTCACCCTTACATTCCCAGTCCAGGTCTACCCGAGCTATATCAATTTTGGCAGCCTTGTCTGCCTGTTCATACTTCCTTGCGATGGAGTACATCTCCAGCTGCTGCTGCAGCTGGATCTTCTTCACGCTGTCGTAGAAGTTGGGTTCGGGCGGTGTCTCGGCGGCGGGGGGCAGGGTGAAGATGCACATGATCCTCCGCTTGTTCTGCCGCACGTAGACCAGGAGAGCGGGGCTGGCCAGCACCACCAGCAGGTAGACGTTGGTGGCCTCATTCCGCACCTTGTGCACCGAGTAGTCGATGGCGCCACTGCTCCACCGCTGCTTGCACCCCCAGCCGCCACCTCTGTTACAAGAGCAGTTAATAACCCAGAGAATTGCAATTGCTTGTTTGTGATCCCAAATTCAGCCCAATTTGTGTTAGAAGAAAGATTTGTGTTGCTGGGGTATGAAATAGCCTCCCCACAGCCGGGGGAAGGACCCGTGCAGCAGCACTGCCCGTGCCGGGTGTCAGCACTGGGGCCAGCCCAGTGTCAGTGCAACGCCCTGGGGCTGGTAGAAATGAGAAGCAAATCCTTCTGCTGTGCCAACATGTCATGCTCACGCCGAAGAGCCTCGATCCCCTTTTTGTCTCAGCAGGTAGAGGGGAGCCAAGGCCAAGATGGGAAGCGAGAAGCTTTGCTGCAGCTGATCAGGAGCACTGGCTCCTCTATTTCATGTCGTCCCAGGAGCAATGGAAGCACTGTGTCCTCACTAAATCCTCCTGTGTTTCTTACTGCTCTTCTGCAACTCCTCCTCCTGGAGTTTCGCTTGCCGTTGGCTTACATTCATCTCTGTTTTCCCATACGTGGTGGGGAGGAGGAGAATAGTTCCCCACCCTCTCCCAGTGGCACAGAAACTGGAGCAGGAGTTGCAGGGAGCTGGAAAGCCCAGCAAGCAGCAGCCTGAAGGATGGTCTGAGTTTGTGCTTGAAGGGCAGAAACCTCTCAACCATTTTGGTGCATTAGAAAATGGGAGAATAATGCAGAAAGGACAGAAACGCGTGGGAAACGCTCTTTTTTGGAGTGCTTGAGAAAATACACAATGCATCTTATGGTGAGCTTATGTTCCAACAGTAATTCAGGTTATTGCTAAACAGTCGGTGCCAAAAATTGAGACCGCTGGACCCGGCCTACCTGAAGTTACCGATCAGGATGTTTTCCAAGAGCCAAGTGAGATGGTGCCTCTGCCATTAGTGTTGATTTCCAATCAGCCCCCATGTACCTGACGGACCAGGAGCTCACCTGGTAGCATGGCGTCGATTTTTTAAAGAAAGAGCAAGGGAATGAGCTGGGTAATTATTGACTGATTGGCCCGACCTTGCTTCCGGGCAAAATAATGGAGCATTTGAGGTGGAATTTGATCGAAAGAATTCAAGGAGGGTAAGACAATTAATGCGGTTTGGTGTTGTAAAAATAGATCTAAGCAGCTTTCCTTGGCACCTCTGAGTGCCCGGGGGGGACCGGGTTGGCTTTGCTCCCTGTGCGCCCCAGTGCTGTGGTCCCACTGCCCCCCGTGCCTGCCCCGCAGCTCATGTGGCCCCGCATGGGATGGGAGCAGGCGGCGAAGAGCCAGGGCGCCCGTGCGGCTCCTGCTGGAGCAAACGGGGTGGGTGGGGAGGCTTGGAGCAGAGCCCTGCGGTGCTGGGGGGAAGATGGGACAAGGCTGTGGAAAGGGAAGGAGCAGTTTGCTTGTCAGCCAGCTCATTGCTCCTGGAGAAGCGGGTGCTCTGCCCCTGGCAGGCAGCGCTGTAAAGCAGCCAGGGATGGAAAGTGGTGACAAACCTGGGCTTGCCAGATGGGCACATTTGCAGCGGGTGGGAGCAGCCACCCAAAGCCATACATTTTGCTGTCCTAATTGGGTGCCCCTCACGGGGAAGCTCTGTCGTGGGTGAGGATGAGTCCCTGGGGCTGCTGGCTGCAGCTGCCTGCCCTCGCCCGCTCAGTGCCCACCAGGTCAGTCCTGTGCAAGGCTGCTGTGCTTCCGCTGGGCCCATACCTGCTTTGGGCCACGTTTTAGCAGGACGTCACTGCTGTGCAAACAGAACTGCGCTCTTCAGCTCACACTGTAACCCAGGGTACGTAATTATTGCTTAAAAATTAATTCAAAGGTCTCCTAAACGCCCCCTGCTCTGAGCTATTAGTACTTGCTGTTTCCCCTCAGCTGAGCAACCTCCTGCTTTCTGAGCAGCAGCTCTGGTGGGGCCATAAGCTGGAGTACAGGCATGGGAGGTGACGGGCTGGGGATGCTGGAGGCAAGCCATGGGTCCCACTAGGTTTGCTGCTGAATGCAAACCATTCCTTCCACGGCTGCCACTGCAAGCAGCTCCAGGAGCCCTGCAGGCAGGACAGGCAGCGGATCTTGGGAGCCGTGTTGTTGCACGCGTTGGATTTGAGCCAACATGAATGTCCAGGCATGGTTAGGGCATTTGCATGTCTCCTTTCACCCCTAGCTCTTCATCACTGCCTGCAAACTGGTGTTTTAGCATGAGTAATTGGAAAAAGAATGAAATCCCAACACTTTCTCCCAAAAAAGGGGAACTGGAATGAGGTGCTGTGCTGTGCCGCCTGTCTGCTCCACCTTTTGCACAGGTTCATCACCAAACCAAAATGCTCTCTTTCAAGCAAACTTTGATCCCATCCTTTGTGCTGCTGGATTATAAGCAGCCAACAAGCGTGGCCACAGGAGAAGCAGTTAATGCATTGCATGGCTCTCCCTTCATCCTGAGATTTGCCTCCCAGGGTGGGTTTCCAGCTCTGAGGCCAGCCTGGAGCGGCTGGAGCAGTCCGAGGAGGAGCTCGGGATGAGAACAGCCTAGGGGGTAGCTGAGCTGTTGGCCAGCGCAGCAACAGGCTGCCGAAGGGCTTTGCATGCTGGGCTCCTGACGACGAGGCTGCCCCTGGCCACTCCGTCATCACGAGCCCAGTTGTTGGTGCAAAGCTCCCAGAGTCCTCGTCCAGGCAGTGGATTCGGGTGGGTGTTTCCACGCTCCTCAGTGACTGCAACTCTGTGCCTTTGCCCGGCTGCGCCGGCAGCCTGCGGGGAGCACGCTGGGTGCCAGGACGTGTGAAATAGGATCCTAATACTGAAAGGGTATTTTGTGAGTGCAGTCCGACTGATGTTACCCAAAACCAGCTTTTAGTTACCTAAAAATGTGTAACAGCAACACCTGTTAAACATCTCACCGCTTCCGTTTTTAGTCACTTGAAAAGTCAAAAGCTATGATTTCAATCTGTTGCGGATCACCTCCAAGCGCAGCTGGATGGTACGGACGCGGTGTTTCGGGGAGCGCCTTCACTCCCAGGGGATCCAGAAGAGCTTCTCAGACCCTGCCATGCATCATCTTTGCTCTGCTCCTGTGTAAAAGCCTTGTGACATTGTGTACTGACATTGAATCCTGGCATCATGAGCAGGATTTGTCCCTCCCAGCATGCTGGAAGTAAAAAATCCCAGGGCTGGTGGCCCCTCACGATGGTACTGGGCATCTCCTGTGCCCTCACTCCTGGAGAAGGCCGATGGACGGCTCCACCATGTCCTGTTTGTGCAGCCTGGCAAGCAGCTGGAGCTCCTTGTGTTGCTTCGGTGTGGAAGGGACAACCCCGGCTCTGCTCGGAGCAGTGGTCACACAGCTCTCTCCTGTCCACCCCACCATGTGCTCCCCCGTTCTGTCACACTGGCTGCAAACGGTTGTATTGGTCAGAATGGAAAAAAACTCTGGAAAATTACGAAGGGGTTGAGTCAGCATCTTGCAAACCAAGCGTCTGATTTTTTTCTTCTTTTTCTACGTAGCTCGAATAAATAAGTTGCCATGTCAGACTCTGAGCTCTGTTTCCAAGAAGGACCATCAGCCATTGGGAACTGAAGAGCTGCATAGAAGTCATCGATGTCCTGAATGTCTTCTGGCAAATGGGACTTCAGATGGAAAGTCCTTCTCCACAGGGTGCTCTCCATCTATCCA